TATAAGCCTTTTGATTCCGAATTATAACAGATGAACCTATGAACCAGAGTACCTCTTAGGTTGACTGCGTGCCCATTTGTCTCGTCCATACCATAATATAGACATAATTTTAAATTTACTTGTAACAAATAATTTACCGATTTTTTTTAATAAAACAGTAATATCTTTCGATTTTTTTAATTAAACCTTCATAAATCTGGACTAGCAACCCTATGTATTATTTAAAGAAAGGAAGCTCTAACACAATTTTACTTATATTATGAAATTATATAGAACGATCTCGGAAAAGCTGTGAAGCTCAAATTATTTCAAAAGGGTTTACTGCAGAGAAATCTTTACGTCTTAAATACGATCAGAGTATATTTGCGATATAATATGGTATTACGTAGCGGCGTCGTAATCCAAGGTTGTCGAGTGAAAGTTGGTGTCGAGGTACTTTCACCGTTGATGTACGCCGGTGATATTATTCGAAACATATTTTGTATTTTGACACGGCATCTACACACGTGATCATTTTTGGCATTTATATTATTACGCGAACAGTGCAGTTGTATTGTAAACGACAAGATATGTGAAAAATTGTTCGGATAACTGTTATTGTTAATCATCTCTTCCTTTCTACTGTACCTATTTAAGATAAACATGCTGCTAAATTAAGCTAGTACAAAAGCCAGTTAAGTTTTTACTAACAATCATAAATTAATAACATATCCAGTATGTTATTAATTTATTATTGTTAGTAAAAACTTGAGCTTGAACGGAAATACTTATATACAAATTACGTTCTGTAATTTACTACGACAAAAAAAATTACAAAATTACAGTGTGTATATTTCAAAGACATGTCAAGTCCGTCAAGCCCAAGCCCCCAAGTTTTTTGCCCTAAAACCCTCTCAAAAGTGAGAGGCGGTCTATTCCCAGCAGTGGGACGTATATTGGCTCTAACTTTAACTTTTTTATAGAGGAAGGGTGACAAACGAGCACACATTCTATGAGGTGGACCTCATAGAATACTATAATATACAATAGAATGGCTGTCAACATTATTTTGTACGAGATTCGGCGTCGCCGGGAGCACACATACAAGCAATTACGTCGTATTATCACTTAATCACTACTACAAACCCGATTCGTTGTGTTGACATACGGATTTTTATACATATTTTTTTGTAAATAGCGTGCAATTTGGCATTTTCTAAATAATTTGTAACGTCAAAACACATCTCGCGTTGACATTTATACATGTGAATTGACGTTTTTTAGTGGCTACACGGCCCTCCGCCCACTCCCCCGTTCTATTAGGTATGTATTATAGTATTCTATGGTCCACCTGATGGTAAGTGGTTGCTGTGGCCCATAGACATCTACATCTATCCTCGACAACGAATCAAAGTCAAATGCGTTGTCATCCCTGAGAACTAAGATGGAAAGTCTCCTTTCCAGTAAAAAGGATCTCCGGTTCTCTACACTCACCTTACGAAACACAGCAACATTAAGCTGCTATTTTACGTTGGTATTCTGTGAGAGTGTGGTCCTTTCCCAGTCGAGCCGATCCATTCATGCTACAACAACTATACTACTAATATAACTGAAGCATGGCTCTCTCTACCACTTAAAAAAAACTGACTTTAACTTTATTGTTATTCAGAACATACTTTACAGCCAACATCAAACAAATAAGCTGACAGATGTCACCTCTGAGGACTAAGGTGGAATGTCTCACAGCCTATAATAGTGCTAGCTCTCTATACCGTTAAGACCGAAAAGCAGCAGTACAAGCATTACAATTTGGCGGCAAGAATAGGAAAGAGGGTTGTTTCTACACAGACTTCTTAGAAAAACGGTTCTACCACCTAATGAAGTTATTTTGTATATCAAAATTACATTATATACATTGTAATTTTGCTTCGTTCTTGCTACCGTAAATTCCCATGGTAAATTCTGTTATAGACTTTTACCTCTCCAATCTATTTAAACCTAAGCGATACAATTAGGTCCGTAAAATCTTAACATCGACATATAAGTAACAGAAACTTTTGCAATATTTTTTAAAAAAATCACGAGATTTTAAAAACGTTTTAGCCCAGCTATCTATCTAGCATCAGTCTTTCAACTATTCAAACCCTAAAGAATCCAATCAACATAATCAATGAAAAATTCTAAAATATTTTAAAAGAAAAAACATTTGGAATTTAAGCAAAAGACAATAATAAAAAAGAAAGTTGATTTTACTCGACATTTCTTTGACTACATCAAAGAAATACCATTGATCCTTAAGGTGCGTGTTTGAGCAAAACACCGCGCTAGTCGTTATTTGTGAGGTTTTTAGGAGCTATCTACTTGTTTTTAAAAAGATATATCAACTAAAAAAATCTATTAAATTTTTTCATAATCTTGACTCCATAATAGCCAAATTCATTTTTTAAAGGAGTAAATACTTGATGAATCTTCCTACAACTAAACCACAGAAATGCGAAATAATTATTGAAAACATGCATCTCCTTTTAAAGTAAGCATTATTTTATTTTGCGATTGACACTAATGGATGGGCAATTTATTGACCTATTTAATTTTTTCAAGGGGCTAAAATTCGATTTTATATCGTATTATGGTATTCTATGGTTTGCATAATATACTTTCGAACAGATTTTTGACCTGGTAGAGCGTATTTTTGCATGATCTGGCTAAAGCTTTGGTCTCTTGATCGTAACGCACAACGCTGCGGTATGCGGTATGCGGTGCCGGACACATAATCGTATGAAAAACGTGTAGAATAGTCTCTTGTTCCATCCCAGTATGTGCCAGCGGCGAAGGGCAAGCGCGGTAAAGTAGGGAGCGGGTACTCCGCACTGCGCGGCGTCGTTCTCGTTGCGATGTTGCGGTGTGCGTCACAGGTTGACAATGGATTCCTTTGAAGATAATTTAATATAATTAATCTGTAATTATCCCTCATTATATAAAAATAAAGACAGACTTCTTTCTTCCTCCTCCTCAAACAAAGTAGAAGTTTCAAAACTATTGTTCATTGTTCAAGTTGACACGTCTGCTTAGGTAGCTGCGGCAAAATCAACCGACCACTTCGCCGCAGAGATGCTAAACGCTGGGTCGTGACGCTGCGTTTGAGCCGCATACCGCAGCGTTATGCGTTACGATGAAGAGATCAAAGCTTCTCCGGCTGTGACTCTAGCGTAGCGTACTGAGACTATCTTTTATATCGTGAAATACAATATTTGCTGCTCGGACGAAGTCGAACTGGCAATAACTTGTTTCTTAGGTACTTTTCTGACAAATCGCTATATAATAATCCATTTTTCATATTTAAATAATTCAAATAGAATGTTTTAGTATATCAATGAACATATACTGGATTGCGTGCAATATCTTGCAAAAAATAAGTCGTAACTCGTTCACCAAAAATCGTACGTGGGTCGCCTTAGGGGGCGATCGAGAATCTATGCATCATAAGTCTATTAAAATGTTGTGGTTATAAGCATAATACAAAAATTATCGTGGAGTAAATAATTTGCAACTTAGTAATTGGACCGACAGTATAATAACTAATCTTAAACTTATATTATGAAAGCTAATTTAATACGATTACAATATTTGTTATGTAATTTTATTAATGGCAGAGCTAAGCGAGTATCTGTAACTAAATAAAGTTTTTTATTATTTTCAGTGGATGCTCTCTTACAATATTTTAAACTGGCTAAAATCATAACGCAAATAAATTGAGATGATGGGGTGAACGCAAATAAAAAGATATATATATTTTTTTAATAAAACCATAATTATTTATATATCAACATCCTTACAGGTGTCGTGTATTGTTTAATATAAGAATAACCCGTTTTATAAATCTTCTGTTGAATAACAAATTAAACTTTGTAAAAGCATAACATTAGCTCCCGTAAAGGCATTACTTACTCTTTGATGTTGCGTTACTGGTATTATAAGCGTGTGTTTGTTCTTGGTATTTACGGAATGTATATCACTTTTTTGATAAAGCGATTTTTATTTTGATGTACATACATCAATTTTAACAAAACATCTAAAAGTACAAAGTTAATGTAGTATAATTTATTTATTCAAGTGTTTTCAAATGAGTCTCCTTTGAATTTAGGTTAAAATTGCTCATATCGTTATGCTCAACAAAACAAAAAAAAAACACAATGTTAGTCCTATTACATTATAGCGAGATTCCATAAAAATCATATATGGAATTGATACATACAAATTATATTGGAAATTCCCTTGAACGAAATTCGTTCAAGGAAATTCCATACAAATTATATATGGCTATAAAATTAACTATAATAAACAAATATAGCTGTTTTAACACAAATAAGGCTCCAATTTTTACAGCATATACTGCAAAACTAAGTCTGATTGCAAGATTAGATAATTATTTTTTCTGGGAATCACTCTGAACGCTTAGCCGCAATGGGGTTCCTCTAATTTTCGGAAAACCAGTGGTATCATAGTTTATTTTTAAGCACATCATCATCTTTTGAAATACTTCAAATTATCTTCCCATTATCTCTTCCTATGACACCCACGGCATGAAATGGGGTGCTGGATTCTATTTACAGCCACCTAATGGCACTCTTGAAAGTTAGAATACAACGATATGTACTGACGGAATAAATAATTAATTATGCCTTTGTTTGTCATTTAAGCACATGTACAATTTGAACCGGAGTAGTACTTATAAAGACGACCGTAAATTAAATTTATCTCGTAACCAAGGAAACAGTTGCACAAATCATTTAAAGTTTAACGATCCTTCACAAGTATAAAAGTATATCGTAGGTTATATACTGTAGTTTTTTTTTCTCGTTCTAATTGTATATTTTCTGTCAAGAAGACTATTTCGATATTGGTTTTGGAAATATTAATTGTACAGATACGTTGCTTTTCCACTTTAAAATAGTTCTATCCCCTGCATATTACTAGTATATAGTATCTATACTACCTAACAAACGATCGCTTTGTTCCAGGATCTTTACTGCAGCTGCCAGGAATCGTGCACGTGGATCGCAACTGGTTCGCGTCATCAAACGACCCTATAGGCACCGTGGTGACGCGAGTACAACGGGAGACCACTGGGAGTGAGAGCGTGCGGTACGGTCTGGAGACTAGCGGGCCGCCTGCTCCTTTTAAAATCGACTCAAAAACCGGAGTCGTTACTGTTAATGACACGCTTCTTGATAAGGTATGGAATTTTATACTTTTGACGAGTAATTTTCATAAATTTGTTTACCCGATCTTATCTACTTATGGTTCACATCACCACAACCACCAAATTTAACCTATAAGTGAAGGTAGTTACTTAAAAATAATATATTATAGTTTCAAAGGTAAGTCCGGTCCTTACTCTGTATTTAGAAACTCAAAGTAATGTTTCTAAATGATGTTAAAGATAAACAAAACATCGCGATCTAAACAGCAGTAAAAATAAGAAGTGAGTTCGAACATATGTGACACGACTGGGTTAACTAAATCAACCACTTCGTACAATTGATTCGAAAGTTTGTGCGTGAGTGACTGTCTGTTTGTTACTTTTTCACAATGTAACGAATTATATTGGATTTAAAGGGAATTGAGAATGGTGAAAGCGTAAAAATTGGCTGTTCCGGTGGGATTAGCAAAGTCACTCCAACGTCTTTACAGCTTGACTACCTGGCATTTGATGTTGAGGTTTGTTTCTACCCGTTTTCAAAAATAGCCTTCATCCAGCAAAAATATCGATTCCTGTAGAATAGCATTATTATCTTACTATTGCATTTCTTATTTTATTATTATGTGTGCATAAAATTCGGTGTAGTATTAGAGTCTAACCGTGAGTTTGCACGGGTAAAACATTTTTTATAGGATATGGATGACAAACGGGCACATAGTCCATCTCATAGTAAGTGGTTGTTGTGGTCCATAAATAGGCATCTACATCTTATCCTCGATTAAGAATCAAAATGAAGATGCGTTATCACTCCTGAGGACTAAGATGGAATGCCTCTTTTCTAGTAAAAATGGTCTCCGATTCTCTACACTCACCATACGAAACACAGGCGCATAAAGTTGCTATTTTACGCTGGTTTTCTATGAAAGCGTGGTCCTTTCCCGGTCGAGCTGAACCATTCATACTACAACCATAATACAGCTGCATTGTGGCTCTACCACATAACATGTCACACATATTAAATGATTTGTATCGAATTTTTTTAATTTCCATTACTTGTTGTAAAACATATTATGTTTTATGAAATGTCAAACATGTTTCACTTCAGCATATTATTTGACTTTATTGTTATTAATGATTGTCAAAAATTTAATTTTAAACATGACAGATAGCATGAAATCCATGCTGCAGCTATATTATAGTAGTATAGTTGTAGCACGAATGGGTCGGCCCGAGCAAGGAAGGGGAACGGGTTGGCTCGACCACGTCTCACGGATAACCTGAATAAAATAGGGGCTTAACGCTGCTGCGTTTCATATGATTGGTGTAGATAACCGGAGACCCTACTTACTAGATACGAGGCATTCAATCTTAGTCCGCAGAGGTGATAATACATCTGCATTATTATCCTTAGTCGAGGATTGATGTAGCATCCACTTACCATCAGGTAGACTGTGTATTCTATAAAAAATACCACCTGGTATTCGTACTCTAATCGTTCCTGAATTTTAATAAACATACAAAAAAATATGAAGTGTATTGTATAATGTAAGTAAAGTAGCTAATCAACAACTTTTTTATTTTTGCAGGAAAACCAATCCTATTCATTATGGGTGACAGCTGACGACGGTTCAATTCCACAACGATTAGAAGTCCTTGCCACAATAACCGACAGCTCTGGTCAAAGACCAAAATTACCTCGCCCACCACCATTCGGCCTACCAAATTATCCAAGCATACCTGACTTATCTCATATACCTCATATACCAAAGTTCACGAGACCAACGCAAAGAACAACCAAAGCAACAGACGGCTATATTGAGGAAATAACAGTACCTGAAACGACACTGTTAACAACTTTGAGTCCTAAAGTACCAGATAGTAATCTACAAGATAAACCTGGTAACGAGGAAATTAAAAATAATACGTCAGTAGACGAGACACAGATCGGAAGTGACGTATCACTGACTGTCATACCTTTGGTTGCGATTGGTGGCTTGGTTGTTATAGTGGCAGCTGTCATTATTTTTGTTTGTAAAAAGAACAACTCCAAGGGATCAAAAAGCAAAAAGGATGATATGGTGAGTTATATGGCATTATGTTAACTTTTGAAACATCATCTTGAATAATCACCGCAATCAAGTGATATAACATTGTCTTTTACCTTCGTAAGACTGAAGATTGTAATAGATAAATAATGACTCGAATTATACCAGTGAATGTATTTAAATATTAAATTGCGGTTACATTATCATTGAATATTATAACGATATTCGTTTTCTATTATGGATTCTGACTCGGTAGCTTTTAGTTTACATAATTATTCATTAAAATAGTTAAACTCAGTCTTGTTGTTAAATAGTCGTGAGTCGCGAACCATACTTTTATAGCCGACGACGTCATATTTTTCATTTGTACTAGAGGATTTGTCATCAAGTTTCACAAGTTCTTAAAATTCGATTCAACATTTCATTGAAACCATAGAAATTAATTGTTTATAGATATTTTTACTATTTGCCTTCGAAAGTTTCTATAGCTATTTGTTATATATTGATATTATTAATTATATGAAAAAATTATAATTAACTTATCAATCATGGTTGTTCACAACGATTTTAACGAGTAAAGTTATTTTTAATAATAGGTGTTTGCCTAAGAAATTGCCGTTCTGAAGTACTGGCCATTTCAAATTAAAAGACATTGGTTTGGCTAAGAATTCTAATTTCAAATTAATTTTATTTTAAAAACATGGAATTCTTTTTTTTAAAGTTACTCATTTGTTTATTGATTGGCGTTATATCTTTATCGTACTTGAATCTTTTTCATTAATCATAATCATAATCATAAGTTAAAAATTTAAATAATTATGGAATATGAGTACCGTTGTGGCAGCAACGCGGCACAAGCGGCACGCAACATCAATGACGTTTGTGTAGAGCGAATACTACAAACTAACGCACCACCCGTTATTGGTTTGCCCGCTTCCGTTCTAGAAATTTTGACCTGAAAAACGAACCGCGTGGTCGTCCGAAAACTTCGACAATAAATAATTAAAGGCGATGGTGGAAGCTGATGATACTCAATCTACCACTGAATTAGCAGTAGCTTTCCATGTTAGCATCAAAACGTCCATTTGCGTTAAACTGGCAATGTAAAAAAAGCTTGTCAAATGAGTGTCCCATGAATTCAATGATTGCCAGCGCGAAGAAGAAGAAAGAACAGACGCGTCAAGACGTGCTTTGTATTGCTGAACAAGCACACAAGCAAAGGAATTTTAACCGCATTAATACTTGCGACGAAAAATGGATTCTGTTTGACAATCGCAAGCTTAGCAAGTTGGTTGGATCCCGATTCAGCACGTCTTAAACAATGTCCTAAACGAAAACTAATCCATATAAAAGTGACAGTCACTGTTTGGTGGTCTAGCGCCTTGACTCATCACAGATTCTTACCAAACGGAATGAGCATTACTGCAGATGTGTACTGTGAAGAACTGTATAGCCCGTACGGATAAAGAATGGGATTAAGTATGGCGGCTCATAAAGCTCGTACCGTCAACATGTACAGTACAACATCAACGACGCAATACATCAACGTGTACAGTAGCAATAGCGAAAACCCGCTAATAACGATAATATATCGTTATAACGTTATATTATTGGGTTTGTTAGAAATTTCCTATTAAGAAGAAAATATTTAAAAAAAACTGTACACGCAAGTAGGTACATTAATTTAAAATTAAATTTATAACTAGCAACCCGCTCTGGCTTTGCCTGGGTGGTTTCTAATAATATGGCGTTATTTAGACTTAGATAATTATTAAAGTCAGTTTAAAATGATATTCATTTACTTTATCGTATCAATATTTCGATTTTTATAAAATCTCAAAATTTAGCCTAGATCACTCTTCATAATAAAAAAATGTTTAGTTATTTCTCAATGAAAAAAATAAATTTAAATATCATTAAATTATGCATAAAACTAAGAACGCAGAACGCAGCTCACAAATAAGCAAAGCGACTGATTTTTTTGTGGTTTATGACATTTTGTTATTATTAATTCCAATATTGGGCAGAAGTTATAGAACGTAGGAAAAACGCATATCGCTTTACAGGTGGGTGTGAATATAGATAGCGACAGTGTGCGAGTGAGAGGTGAATAGAGACGCCACCATTTTCAATCCCATTCTTTAACAGCACGGGTACCCTTATATCATAGTGCAAAACAGACGGTCTCCAAGTTAAAAGATCATCAGACCGTGCGCCGACAGAATTCTACTTTTTCCAGAATTTTGAGAACTTTTTGGCGGGAAATAAATTCAATACCCGAGAGGCAGTACAAAATGCCCTTAAAGAATTTGTTGCCTCCGTTCAGCTGATTTTAGTAAGAAGGGCATCAATAAACTGCCACTGCATTGGCAAAGATGCATCGATTGCATGGGTGATTACTTTAATTAATAGAAGTAAAAAGATAGAAAAAAATTACGTTAAGTTATTTCGTGAAAAAAAACGGCAATGTCATCAAGAAATATAACCGTGTAGTGGCGGTGTAAGTATATTCACCATCCCATGTGGTCCCGAGGGTGTCGTAAGAGCGAGAGGATAGTGAGAAAATGTAACAGAAAATAGGTCACAGCATCTTCCTGATGTAACTCAAATAATAAAACTGCGGTTGCCAACCCGCTTGCTAAACGTGGCAACTATGGCAAAATTACCTAATAATGTAGTAGGGGGGCGTATGTATGGACAGAAGTGTAATTTTTTAGGCTGTAATGGATAGAACATGCTACGGTAATTTTATACTATCGCGGTCACCTCGTTTTTTGGCTCTAGAAAATCGAAAAATAATCCGATTACGACGAAATTTTTTTAAAAATCTTAGTTTAAAAATAAACAAAAAAATTACCCATGTTACTACTATTATTGTCATTTATTAGGTACCGTATCTTTAAAAACAATAATATATACTACTGTGCATGTTTTATGATAATATAACAATTAAACAAACAACAGATGAGGGTAGATATTTATGCTACATTTGTATTACTTGGGCCACATGATATGGTAAAAGACGGCCTTAGTTTTCCGAAATTGAATACAGCCTATCTCTGGATATATTTCCACTTGTGGTTTTATGTACACCAGATATGAATAAACTGCGTTGCCACCGCGAAATTCAGCAACGAAAATGACGGAATTGTAAAGCGGGCTTTACCGTCACCGTATAGTCAAATCTATAGCAAACGTAAACACGGATTCCACAACTTTTCATTTCATTTAAACGTTTCATGCTTTATTTAAATAAAATAAAATCATCTATGTTTTATTCTAAGTTAAAGATCGAAATCATCTCAAATGTTTAAGTTTCTTATTCATGCACATCCTCCCGAAGTCATAATTACTTAGATAACAAAAGCCGTGTTGTCCACAGAGCAAAGACTCAAGTGGCATCGTGCTACAAGACGCGACTATCAACATGTGGGACCGCCCACGTGCTTACTCTAACCGATACGAGTCCTGGGATAACGGTCATTTGCAGGTCAGTTTTTTGACCTCGTCTCATTTATTGCTTATTTTTTAATTGATACTACTTACACCCGCGACTTCGTTCACGTAAAACATAAACAGCTAAAAAAACTGAAACTTCAGATAATTTGGTAGTGGTCTTTGGACAAGTATTTAACCTATCAAAAAGCCACTTTAATCAAAATTTTTGTCAAAACTGTTATATAGGGGAACATTTTAATAACAAAACGGAAGATATATTAATTTCTCATAAAAAGGCCCTATAACCTTATTCTTGTAACATTTGTTTTGTTGTAAAATAGTATTAATATAAAATAAAATGCTATAAGTAGATTATGCATCAAAACTTTAAGACTGAACAAATACATAGCAAAATGACAAGGGCAAGGCGGTGTGTAAAAAAAGACAATCCAAAAAGTTTAAAAATATATTTAATCTCTTATACTTTATTTATGAGATAACCATTTATCATATCAGTTTTTCGGTTTAACAAAAAAGCTCCTGCACATTTTTTGGATGAAATAATTAAAACCTGAATCACTGGCATTGCTCTGTGTCTGTTCGTGAAGTTTATAATAAAAGCTTCACCTATTCCGAAGTTTAGCTCGTACAAAAAAAAAAAACAAATTTTAAAAGAATGCAGAAAGTAATTTATTGCACACACGCCACTATATTACACACAATAATAACATGTCAATCATGTTAAATAATTAATAAATTATATTCACGATTTATGACTATATTTGCATTCCTCTCGCATGTGTTGTGACACATTGGAAAAACGGATCTTTTAGTTGCCAAAGTTACTGGTTATTAACACAGTAAGTGTCCAACCGAAGCTTCGGCTTTGGCTTCGGCCACCTTGTGCATAAAACCCACTTACGGTAATGTTTATTTGGTTTGGTTAACGTATTGCTGTAGGAGAATTCATCACCCTTATTTCGTCGGTGTCATAAGTGGCTACTATGATAAAAATCAGGAAGTCCTTGTGGGTGGGTTGTCAGGCAGAGATAGCCGTAGGTATAATAAGTCCGTCCTATGTACCCTTAGCTTTAAGGTGTAACATATAAGCGGTTTTCTTTAAAAAAAAACTCGAAGGTACTCTGCGATGATAATAAAGTTTCCAGTTGTATTATTACTATGATGGTTATTCATATCTTGATTGCATACAAAGAACCTCTGAGAGTTTGTTTTTCGATTGATTTTTAGCAGCTAGTTATTTTGATGCTCATCATCGTTATCGTCATTACAGTCTTTCACAATTCCACTGCTGAACAAAGCACGTTTCTGATCCACCTGCATCCATCGACTTCCTGCCTGTCTGGTCGACTTCCTGACTAGGTAGGTCACCATTCCACCTAGAGGGAGAACGCTCTACACTTCCCCTACTGGTACGAGACCTCCACTCGAGGAACCTTTCTTCCACATCGGCTGTCGGTTCATTCGAGCTATATTTCTAGTCCATCGTATACGTTTGGCTATATCGGTTACTCCGTTTCTATGTGAATATCCTCATTTTCAGCTTATCACACAGAGAAACCCCGATCATATCATTCCAATATTACAGACAAATATTATATTTCATGTAGTTTTAGATAAATAATAATACATAATTAGTGTTTTCATTAAAAATGACGGCCTGTATAAGATATAAGTGTTGTCGCTTATTTCTATAAAATCCATTTTGTGAATATAATTCTAATGTAAAATAACATATTAGTTTTTAGAAATAGAAAACATAAAAAGGAATTTCTTTTTCAAATCTTATTAACAAGTGGTTGTCGGGGATATTTCTGTAACCATAAAAAATTAGTGAAATAAAATCTAATAACAAGTTAATTTAAAGTAAAGATATTAAACCAAATCATGTATATAAATAAATTGTTAAGACTTATGCACGTAGCAACAATAAAATGTGATTAAAATGAACTGATGTTTAACGGTCGAAATTTATTGTTTCTGGCCTTAAAGCTAAATGAAACCTTTGCCTACAGTTCATGTTGGTCATGATTAGGTCATGACTCAAATGGAAAATTAAAAATTGCATCGTTGAATAAAACTACTTTTAGGGATTTTATCGCGTTTAATACTACTTAATTTTAATGGACGACGTTTCGTTCAACTACGCAGAACGAACTTACGTGGATTGGACTGAAAGTAATAATTAAAAAGCCTTTCGGGTGCTTTGCAGCACCCATAGTCACGGGAGACTGAGGTGATTAACGTCCCGATGTCAAAAGTAACCCGAAATACCTACAGCTTTTTAATTATTATTTTGATCTGATCTACACAGTATGAGCTTACTGGGTCTTGAAGACAGTGGTGTGTTTGGGTTTAGTTTTATTTTATTAATTACAGGATCCCAAGCAGGTACCAGTAGCCAGCCTCCTTCTCTAAATATTCTTATAATTTCTATAGCCTCACGCATCATCCTTGCCAGGAATCGATGTCCTTTAGTGAGAATTTGAGGTCTATGAAATATAATGTAATTGCGAGGGCCGTTTAGTATATGATCACAAGCTGCAGATTTCCCGGAGCGTTGCCCGGCACGTCAGCATATTTTTCGCGGGTTATTATTGATCTTATATAAAAGGCCCTATATACACAATCGAGCTTGTCCACTCCTGCATCTTTTAGAGGGATATTAAACTTGACAGATTGTAAGCACTAAGTCAGTTTAAGAAAATTGATAGAATCAGGCGTTACTTTGCGGAAATCCATTATAATAAAAATATAAATTACTTCGCAACCTTCCGCTAGCTAAATACAATGATGTGTCTTACCTGGATTGAAGAGCACCTCCCGCCCTCCCTCAATTGCATGCACTAACTCAGTTTAGCTAAGCTTAGCTAAGCGGTCAGCCGCCGTAGAGTCTACATCACCTGAAGATGCCTCGTGTAGAGGCGAAACACGTGTCGTATTGTCGTCGATGGTGTGTCTTACCTGGAATAGTGGTGTTGGAAGTAGTGGTGCCGGGAGTAGTGGTGCTGGGACTAGTGGTGACGGAGTTAGTGCATGCAATTGAGGGTGGGCGGGAGGTGCTCTTCAATCCAGGTAAGACACATCATTGTATTTAGCTAGCAAAAGGTTGCGAAGTAATTTATATTTTTATTCAGTTTAAGAAGCTTGCTTTAAGATAAAGTCAATCTTGTCTGTGACTGCTAGTACAGAGTATCGGTTATTACAAGTATGGGTCTTTTTTATACACAGTGTGACTTAGGGCGTTGTTAAGATTTCGGATTGATTACAAATCCAGGCGTGTGCCGTGTAGTGGCGGTTAAGAATATCCACTACCCCATATCTTCCCGTGGGTGTCGTAAGAGGCGACAGAGGGAGACAGGCAGGAGATGGGCAGCAGCGTCTTCCTGATGACAACTGTGACGTAATAAAAAACTGCGGTTGCCAACCCGCTCGCCAAGCGTGGCAACTATGGCAAATACCCCCCAATTAATAAATACACAAACAGACGGCCCCCAGTCCCCGGCGGCCCCGCTATTCCTGGCTACGGTGGCGACCATGGTAACGGCGGGGCAGGGGGTGCTAAGAATCTCCGGTGGAGGTTCGGTTGCCACCTACGACGACTCGACCTGGCAACATATAACGCACGCACCCTGAGGACTGACGAGAAGATACTGGAGCTGGAAGAAGAGGTAGACAAGTTGCGCTGGCATATTATAGGATTATCCGAGGTCCGAAGAGAGGGGGAGGACACGGCAATCCTCGAGTCCGGCAACTTGTTCTATCACCGGGAGGGCGACCATCTGTCCCAAGGAGGTGTCGGATTTATCGTCCAAATCTCTCGTCAATTGGGAGTGTGTCGACGAGGGTCGCGTACCTGATACTCAGAATCACCAAACGGTATTCGCTGAAGGTCATTCAGGTTTACGCACCAACCTCGGCACATCCCGATGAGGAGGTGGAGGAAATGTATGAGGATATTTCCAGAGCCATACATTCCTCCAAAACCTACTACACGGTGTTGATGGGAGACTTCAACGCAAAACTGGGCACAAGAGAAAGCGGTGAGCTGAAGGTAGGGAAATTTGGAGTAGGGCAACGGAACCGAAGGGGCCAGCAGCTGGCCGACTTTATGGAGAAAGAGGGACTCTTTATGATGAACTCTTTCTTCCAGAAGCGGCCCCACAGGAAGTGGACCTGGTCGAGCCCCGACGGTTCGACAAAAAATGAGATTGACTTCATTATGACGACCAGACGCCAACTGTTCAATGATATCTCAGTGATCGCAAGGGTGAAAACTGGCAGCGATCACCGAATGGTTAGAGGCACACTGAACCTAAACGTTAAGTTGGAGAGGTCTCGTCTAATGAAGTCAACGCTCCGTCCCCCCTCGTGCTCTAATCCAGAATCCCGAAACCTTTCAGCTCGAGTTACGTAACCGCTTCCAGTGCCTAGAAGATTGAAATGCAGTGGACGATATGAACGACAAGCTCGTGGAAACTGTCCATGCGGTCGGAGCTAAGTTCTGCAAGACCCGCCGCAGAAGAACACAAAAACTCTCCGATCACACTCTTAATCTCATGGCTGTTAGACGGGAGATGAGGCTGCAATCGTCAACAGATTTGACAGCATACAGGCAACTGAACAGATAGATCTCCAAATGCATACGGCGAGACTTACGCAACTTTAATACTTCTCGTATTAAAGAAGCGATCGAGCGGAACCAGGGCTCCAAAGTCTTTGCCAGAGATCTGTCTGCCAGAAAGAGCCAACTGTCAAGACTGAAGACTGAGTGTGGCAACATCGTTTCCGGGACACCTGAGATTTTGAGTGAGATTTAGAGGTTCTATGGGCAGCTGTACACATCATCGTTGGAGCCACACGCAAGTGTGAGTAACGAACCAAGAGCAAGTCTTATCCGACACTATTCCGATGATATCCCGGACGTCAGTCTAAGCGAGATTAGAATGGCTCTCCAGCACCTTAAAAACGGCAGGGCCCCAGGCGAGGATGGAATTACAGCGAAGCTTCTGAAAGCGGGTGGAACACCGGTACTTGAATTCCTTCAGAAGCTCTTCAATTCCGTCCTCCATGGTGGCACTACTCCAGAGGCGTGGAGCAGAAGTGCGGTGGTCTTGTTATTTAAGAAAGGCGACAACGCTCTCTTAAAGAACTACAGACCGATTTCCCTTCTGAGCCGCGTCTACGTGCTGTTTTCGAGAGTCATTACGAATCGTCTCGCACGCAGACTTGACGACTTCCAGCCTCCCGAACAAGCCGGTTTCCGAAAAGGCTTCAGTACCATAGACCATATACATACCCTGCGGCAGATTGTACAGAAGACTGAAGAGTACAATCTGCCACTTTGCCTGGCGTATGTGGACTATGAGAAAGCCTTTGATTCCGTCGAAATTTGGGCGGTGCTACAGTCCCTTCAGCGGTGCCTAGTTGACTGTCGGTATATCGAAGTGCTGAAGTGTTTGTACAGTAGGGCTACGATGGCTATCCGAGTACAGAACCAGAGCTCGAAACCTATCCAACTGCAGAGAGGTGTAAGACAGGGTGACGTTATATCCCCGAAACTCTTCACCGCTGCATTGGAAGACGTTTTCAAGCTACTGGACTGGAAAGGATACGGTATTGACATCAATGGCGAGTACATCACTCACCTTCGATTTGCCGACGATATAGTCCTTATGGCAGAATCGCTGGAGGACTTAAGCACTATGCTCAATGACCTCAATAGTGCCTCCCAACGGATAGGTCTTAAGATGAACATGGACAAAACAAAGATCATGTTCAATGTCCATGTCACACCTATGCCGGTAGTTGTTGGGAGCACTATGCTCGAAGTTGTTGACGAATACGTTTACCTGGGACAAATAGTCCGACTAGGTAAGTCCAACTTCGACCGAGAGGTCAATCGACGGATTCAACTCGGCTGGGCAGCGTTCGGGAAATTACGGCATATCTTTTCGTCAGGTATACCTCAATCTCTAAAAACTAGATTGTACAACCAGTGCGTGTTGCCAGTGATGACTTACGGATCTGAGACGTGGTCCTTCACTGCTGGCCGTATGAGGACGCTTAAGGTCGCTCAGCGAGCTATGGAGAGGGCTATGCTCGGAGTTTCTCTGCGTGATAGACTCAGAAATGAGGATATCCGCAGTAAAACCAGAGTGACCGACATAGCCCAACGGATTAGTAAGCTGAAGTGGCAATGGGCCGGCCATATAGCTCGAAGAACCGATAACCGATGGGGAAGAAAGGTTCTCGAGTGGCAGCCTCGTACCGGTAGGCGTAGTGTAGGGCGACCCCCCCACTAGATGGAGTGACGACCTGGTAAGACATGCAGGAAGTCGATGGATGCAGGTGGCTCAGGACCGTGCTTTGTGGCATTACTTGGGGGAGGCCTATGTTCAGCAGTGGACTTGTGAAGGGCTGTAATGATGATGATGACAAATCCAGGAATGTTAAGGAATTATTTGCTTCTAATTTCGTAATAAATTTATTATTCAATTAGAAATTCGAGTTTATGGAATTACTTTGTCTAATGATAAATTTACTAGAATATCATCTAGATACCGCTTGTAGAACCTTGGATTTGCAGGTGAAGTAAGAAGGGCCTTCTTTTTAAATTTCTGTATGAATTTGTCGGTGACAAGTGAAGATAGGGGTGAGCCCATCGCTACACCATCTACATGCTTGTAGAATTCTTCTTTCCACAATAAATAGCCAGATGTAAGGCAATGTCTGAGTTATACTGCATATTCTGCAGGCATATTGTTTTTTTCTAGTTCCATAGTTACAATTAAGATTCAGTCTTTAACAGGTAGGCATGTAACCATTAAAACTGACCATGATATTATTGTCAGTAAGATGTATGTCTTTTATCTCACTGACAAATTGGTATGAATCCTTAGGGTGTGCTTTTGTGTGTCCTCCTAGCGTAAGTTGGAGAATGTTGTAAGTGTAAGTCGGAGAATGTTGTAAGTGTAAGTCGGAGAATGTTGTAAGTGTAAGTCGGAGAATGTTGTAAGTGTAAGTGGGAGAATGTTGTAATTAAGTAGAAGTTTAATGTAAGTCACAATGTTGTAAGTGTAAGTTGGAGAATGTTGTAAGTGTAAGTTGGAAAACGTTGTATGTGTAAGTTGGAGAATCGATCTGGCAGGTATTGTCGAATTAACGTCTAGATTCAATTTCTTGGAGTATTTCTTAATTAAATCGCGAGTTGTTTTGAGCATATTAGTTGTAGGGTCTTTTTTAAGCTTTCTGTGTGTACTTTCGTCCGATAAAATACTTTAAAATTGAAATTGTATAAATAAAAAATGGTTTGTCTTGAGAGAGACCAGCCGATTACCACATGTTGATAGTGATTATTATATTATAATGGTGGTCTCGTTGCATTATTGCACACTCGATTTGTTTTTTATACATAAATATGTAAGTCTCCTCATGATTTACGTGGTAGTGAAGAGCGTTATTTCATGAATCATGTTAAAACGAAAATATTTAAAAAAAAAAACAAGAAAAATAGGTTGAATTTGTACTAATTATTATGTATTTATTTTCAGCTCTCTGAGGAAACTACCATTAGCAAAGAAGAACCACCGGACGAATGGGAGTTTCCGCGACATCGACTTAAAATTTTTAACATCTTAGGAGAAGGTGCTTTCGGACAAGTGTGGCGTGCTCAAGCAATCGATATTGACGGTCAGTCAGAGACAATTTATTTATTTTCAGCTCTCTGAGGAAACTACCATTAGCAAAGAAGAACCACCGGACGAATGGGAGTTTCCACGACATCGACTTAAAATTTTTAACATCTTAGGAGAAGGTGCTTTCGGACAAGTGTGGCGCGCTCAAGCAATCGATATTGACGGTCAGTCAGAGACAATTTATTTATTTTCAGCTCTCTGAGGAAACTACCATTAACAAAGAAGAACCACCGGACGAATGGGAGTTTCCGCGACATCGACTTAAAATTTTTAACATCTTAGGAGAAGGTGCTTTCGGACAAGTGTGGCGTGCTCAAGCAATCGATATTGACGGTCAGTCAGAGACAATTTATTTATTTTCAGCTCTCTGAGGAAACTACCATTAACAAAGAAGAACCACCGGACGAATGGGAGTTTCCGCGACATCGACTTAAAATTTTTAACATCTTAGGAGAAGGTGCTTTCGGACAAGTGTGGCGCGCTCAAGCTATCGATATTGACGGTCAGTCAGAGACAATTTATTTATTTTCAGCTCTCTGAGGAAACTACCATTAGCAAAGAAGAACCACCGGACGAATGGGAGTTTCCGCGACATCGACTTAAAATTTTTAACATCTTAGGAGAAGGTGCTTTCGGACAAGTGTGGCGCGCTCAAGCAATCGATATTGACGGTCAGTTAAAGGAGACAATTTATTTTTGTATGTAGAATGGGCGCACCACAAACTGTGGCGACACTTTATGAAATGCATTTCGATTTATTTATATAATCTGTAAAATTACAATAGCTATATTAGTTTTACCGCATCTAAAGGAGTATTTCCTTAAGAAATTATCAATCAATTAATTATTCTGAGAATAACCTCAAAACAAACTAAAAACGATTGGCTAGTAGTTTTCACAGGTATTAAATTAAAATAGTAAACTTTTCAATAATTAATAGTATATAAACTAGTTGTAAGTACGTTCAACATTTAGGTATTTTAATATCGATAGAAAATCCTTTTAGCACCTAGTTCCGGCAAAATATAGTGCACAGATGGACAAATGTGGTATGGAGACTATTTTTTACATGTATTGATTGATTGTGAGTACACAGCCCAAACGCTCTAAAAGTAATTAAATAAATATGATTAAAGCCAAGATGACTAAAGGATAATATCCCCATTTATTAACTAAGCTTCACAAACTATATTGTATGAAAGATTCAAAACTGGTTGTGTAAGGATAAAAGCACAAAGTATAATTCCACTGTATTTATTAATATAAATAAATAACCGATACCAAAACGGTGCCAAGAGTTTGTTTTAATATGTTATGATAGATTAGTTAGTACTTACACTGATATTAAACCTAACATGATTGGGTGATATCTATTTATGATTTTAATCACTAATAAATAAATAGCATGTAAAATATTTTGAACTTGGTTGAGTTTGGATAAAAACACAATGTTTAATTTGGCTATATTTATTATTATTGATCAATATCATAAAACAGCACAGATAGGCGTGGTGTGTCGTACCCCTAACATAAATGACACAAACAATACACAACAAAACACATTTATAATGCAATTGTACTTATTAAAAGCAGCTCCGACACACGTGCGCAGTGTGGTTACATTATTTATTATTGCATTGGTTGATAAGTAAGAGGCGTTAATCATTTTTAAGTTTTTTAATTCCCAATAATTATTAACATCAAAATGACTTTATGATAACATGTCTATTTATAATATTATCAGGAATTAAAAGGACATTACTAATGAAAAGAGCTAAAAGGCTTGTTGTCTTCAATACAAAATGTGCCCCAAGGGGTAACCTACCCCCTCTCTCCCTAAATGTTTTCCACCGACCTTCTGAACAACCTGTATACATAAACTGTATTTGCATATTTCTGTTATCATTTTATCTCTGCCTACGCATAGTTCTGCAAGCCTGCAAGGTAAAGTAAATTAAAGCCCATGCCTAGCGACACCTGGTGTTTATTGAAGTAAAGTTACATTCTATAAGCGTCTCACTGCTAAGCACAGAACTCCTTTCATTCCTGAGCGCGTTTTAGGAGGTGGACATGTCCGCCGAACTACTTAAATGCCAATAAGCGGACTGCACATGTCTTTGAAATATTGTTTTCATTTCTCAGACGCCGCCGAGTAATTGGTAAACCAGCAATTAAAATTGTAATTAACAATCACATTGATTTCGACGGTAATGGAACCGGGGTGCTCCCGTAATATGAAATTTATAGTGAGCGCTTAGTCTCTGTTTTAATTTATCAATTAATTTCACCCCGTGTCTCGGAAAATAAGGAAATCCGTTAGTCATGCAGTGATCTCGTTCCAGTTTGCCCTTTCGTCGAACTATGTGAGAGAATAGAGAGTGCATTTGCGCTTGGAGTGCATAAGGCCACTACAATCCTGTTCTGTGCAGATGGCTTGTCTACGTTATGACTGGCTACCGTGACCGAAATTCTGTCTGAAGGGCATCATTGTAATTATTATTTTTATTAATCGCTTTAAAAACAATTAACAACAATCGACGGTGGCAGTCAAACTTGGTTTGAAGTGTCGCCTATAATCATGGAATATGTTGTTTCTTTGTTTTTAGGTAAAAAAGGTGAACAGACGGTGGCTGTGAAGACACTCAAAGAAAACGCCTCTGAGAAAGAGAAAAGTGATTTATTGCAAGAGTTGATAGTGATGAAGAATTTAGGGACGCATCCGAATGTCGTAAGACTCATCGGCTGTTGTACAGAGAAGGTAAAATTTATATTCCTGCAATTTGTTTAAGTCCACAGATGAACGTTGGACGCCCCAAGAATACGTTAGTTGGTAAACAGTTCGAAAGAGTGGTCAATACTTGGGCTATCTAGAAATACTGTACCGAATTCGGAAATTTGTAAAATTCGGGTACAGTAATTTTTGTTAGTAATCCACTATTAGCTCAATACCGTGTGGTAGCGGCGTAAAAAATACATCACTCGCCCTGTGGAAGTCGTAAGAGGAGAGTATGGGAAATGTTAGAAAAATATTATGGTTCTCGATAGATGGCGGTAAAATCATCTCGTTTATTATATCAGACATAAGATACTCAGACTGGCTATGGAGAGCAATGTCAATGTTTGCGAAGTCTTGACATCTTTCCGTCGTTGACCCGCCTGCGGGTTGCGATTAAGGCACTCCTTCCCTTTAATAAGCGTGACCCAAATATTTAAACACATTATTATTAATAATGGCAGTAAACATTAATTCATAACCACCAATAAAATTACAATTAATGTAGTAATGAATGGGTTTTAGCTCAGCAAAATGTTCAGTTGTCTACAACGCTATTATTCTGAAAGCGCCCAACATGTGAACAATACGCGTGCATTCCTGTTCAGGTTGCGCTTAATCACATTGTTCACATTAGGGTAAATACCGTGATTTCCGATGATTAGTTAGTTTAAATTAGTTAATATGGCATTAAGTCCGCCCTTTCTAACCTTTATGGTTAGAACAATAAAGATTTTAAATAAATAAAATAAAATATATAAGTATTCTTTTTTTATTATTTTTGTTTTTACAATTATTACAACAATACAACCATTAGGTAGAAGAATTAAGTATAAGTAAAGTAAAGTTACAGCCTATATATGTCCCACTGCTGAGCACAGGCCTCCCCTCATTTCTGAGAGGGTTTCAGGGCAAGGAAATGTCCGCCGCGCTGCCCCAATGCGTGTTGGCGAACTTTACATGTCTTCGAAATATTTTTTTTCTTATTCCTCAGACAAGCAGGTTTCCTCACAATGTTTTCCTTCACTGCCGAGCACGTGGTAAAACAGCACTTAAAATTGCAATTAACAATTGCATTGGTGCCGGCGGGGATCGAATCCGGGTTTACTCGCGTTCTGTTATATTTACAGCGAGCGTTAACCATTTGAGCTACCAGGGCTCTAATTAAATTAAGTATAAATTACTATTCATTTTAACGAACCTTAAATCAACACTAAAAAAATTTAGTTGTTTCTCCCACATTATTCACTACTCGTTTTTCCCACACTATTCACTACTTTAAATATAAATTTACATACCCAATACTAGGAGCCAACGCTGGTAATAATGGAGTACGTGAGCCTGGGAAAGCTGCAGCAGTTCCTGCGGGAGTCGCGCGCGGGCCGCCACTACGGGAACACGCACGCCGGCAGCCAATTCCTCACATCGCGTGACCTCACGCACTTCGCCTTCCAGGTGGCGCGAGGCATGGATTTCCTCAGCTGCAAAGGGGTAACCGTATTTTTTATACTATTAGCGTAATCATTGCTCACCCGATGGTAAGCGGCTACACCAGCTTCAAATGCAAAGATATAGATTGTTACTCCTTAGAACTGAAAAAAAAAGTCTTATAGATTACAATTATACTAACTTTCTTGCCGTCTTTTTATTTTCATTTATTTATTTCTCAACACTTCACTCCAAAATAGACAAAGCCGTGAAAATCCACTTTGTTTGACCACTTTTACGAGATGCGCTGTCATCCCTGAGAACAAAAATGGAACGCGTCCCTAACAAAAAAGAGTCTCTGGTTCTCATTACTTCCGTAACAAATACACTTTGCTACTATTTCCTGGTATTTCATGAAAGTGTGGTTTTTCTCCGTTTTAGCCGCTGCATTAAAAAGATACTGCAACATAGTATATGTATTTAAGTCCAAAAATCGTTTATTCATACTCAAGACTTGAAGGCAGTCAGATGCTCAGGCAGCAATCTGCTGATTTTATAATTTCTTCATATCTTAAATACATTCCATCGTATTGAAATTTGTAATACAATCGAAAGGCCTGTATAATAGCAAATTATACCGAGGGGCACTTGATCTGCTATAGGGTTTTAGGTATAAAGTGGTAAAAATATCAATTCAATACTCAATAAGTTTATTTGTGATCTATAGCTTACAATTTTGTTGCTGTTTAATAGTACAGTAGTAGAAAGTACAAAAAGCCAGACGTATACAAATATAGGCGGAATACCGTATGGCCCAGCACTTTTTATTGCATTTAAGCTTTTAAGCCTTTTCTCAATTTCTCGTTTAGATACGTAAGTATTGTCTATATATTTTTTTTGGTTTGTAGACTGGTGGTGTATCAAAATTGTTATTTATATCATCCTTAATAAAAACTGATGAGAAATGACTAGCACATGGCGGCAGCCTATAGATTGTGCCTGCAATGAGCAAGTGTTGGACACCGTACTCTGGATCAGTAAATGATCCGAAGAGTCAAGAGGGGCATCGACAGAGACCTTATAGCTGTGCTGATGAGAGGTCAGCAGATGGTATGATCGTCCACATCTTGAATCTGCGTGTGCAAAGTGACCAGTTGTGTCAGATCATATGCCAAGGCAAAGCATTAAATAGATCTTCCTGCATGAGCAGTAGTATGAGAATCGAGCCATTAGGAGTATTAGGCGTTGAAACTTGTGCGTTTACTGTATGAAAGTCTGTTTTATTTTCGCCAACGAAATAATTAGTTGCCAATTGTTTATGTGACATCAAGTAAATTGAATGTACCGTCTTAATAAGTTTTACTTAAAAAAGTACGCTTAGGCGATGATGGGATGCTTGGATACGCGGGGCCCCGTAGCAATTGCTACGAGGTTAATCCGGCACTGTGCCTGCATGCCAGAACGGCCTTTATCCATTTGAAGTCTATGAAACGATTCGTTCGGTTTAATCAAAATTTGAATTCGTTAAAAATCATCACGCGTTATGTTCTCGACAAAATCCATTTTTAAATGAAACATGATACTTCAATTTGGTTTGTAAAAATATGCGAAGCGAAATTTGATATTGTAATATTTGTGTTTATACTTGCAAATAATTTTATCCTTAAAATAAACTGTAGCTTACCAATATACAGGGTAGTCAAATAAGAGGTATACGACTTATTTTATAAAATTCACTACATATAATCAAAAATTGCTAGAATTTTTTTTGAAAATAAAACATTATTAAGGCTTGGCAATCATGTGTGAAAAATTACACCTGCCAAATATCCAACTCCAGCTGCATGACTGATGTGAGCTCTTTTCATCGCGTTTTTCATCATATTGTCGCACAATTCCGGTGTTATCCCACTGACTGCGTCTCCGATATTCTGTTTTAAGTGTTAACAATTTATGGGTTTATTAGCATAGTCACATCCCTTTAAAAATCACCACAGAAAAAGTCAGAAGCTGTCAAATCCAGTGAATTTAGGGGCCAATCAATGCCACCATATCTTGAAATTAATTCCTAAAAACATTCTTCTAAATGTTTCAACTGTGTCACGTGCCGTATGCCTTACGGCCCCGTCTTGTTGAAACCACAAGTTTTCTAACCCTAACTGACAACAGCACCCGTAGCATCTTCAAAGAAGTAAGATGCAATTACTCCCCCCTGACCAAATTCCACACCAAATTGTCACTCGACGTAAATGTAGTGGTCGGAAGGCTGTTGTTCTCCCCAATAGCGTGAATTTTGTTTATTGAAAAATCCACTCAGGACAAAATGGGATTCATCACTTACAATGATTTTGTTATGAAAATCTGCGTCGCTTTCCAATTTGGGTAACATAAAACTCCTGAAGTTACGACGACGTTCAAGGCACGAAGCTGAAGTTCTGGAGTCATCTGAGCCTTATATGGGAACAGACCCTTGTACTTTTTTAGGATAATCTGTAGTAGATCCCCTTAATTTCCAATTGTTGAGAACGGCTCCTGGTAGACAATGTCGAAGCTTCAGCTACACGAACACAAGCTATTCACGCAACACGAAGCTATTTGAGCACTTTTAATATACTATTCCGTTCGATCTTTTCTATCACGATGAGGAACTGGTTTAATTTGTATAATACCAAGCTGCTCAAATTTATCAGCCAAACGAGTTTTATTAGCTACTAAAGTAAGTGATTTCTACAGAACGCTTAGTAAATTGGTCGCAATTTTCTCAGCGTTTCCGCAATAGAAGATTGATTGGAGTAAAACGTTTAAAAAATTAAAACACGTTCCTCATGCAAAACATCTATATTTTGCATGAGGGACGTGTCATTTACACCTATATACCTATACAATCTATAACGCATACATGCTCGTCGGTTAAGGTTACTCCTAATGTAGCCCATTTTATAAATATCCAATTTGGTCGATGAACCTTCTTCTAGGACGTCCCTACCCGACTTTGCCGTTCACATCGGCATTTTTAGGTAGTATTTTTATAAGAAATTATTTTTATTAACGTATTAATATAGTAATCAAATTTTCATTTATTGCGCTGTTTTACATAAGAGACAAAAATAATGATTATTATATATAAAATACAAACAAATTTATAAATACATTTAAATAATTGCATTTTCAACGTTACTTTCATCAATTTTATGTATCGGAGCGTGACGGTCACGTGAATTCAGTGCTTTTTTCCATATCTCAAAAGCCTGACCTGATTGGCTATTGAACTATTTTCTATATACTTGAGAACCATTTGATATAAAACTCTCTTAGGACCTGGCACACAAAATCGAGCTAAAAACTATCTCTATACTCTTATCTGGGCAGGAAAGTTTGTTTTTAAAATACCAGGATCGATAGGATTTTTTATAAATTGAAATGATTACTGCAACCCATGGTCACCAACAAACACCCTAAAATAACAAAGGTTGTAGATGCATTTTCACCTCGGAGGGCTAAGGTGGAATGTCTCAAAGTCGGTAATTTTGGTGTCTCTCGTTATCCTTCACATGTTACATACAATTGCACATAAAATAGAAAACAGTTGGTTAGGATTTACCAAAATATGTTATACAAATTAAACATTTCTGAAACGCGTAGTGACAAGTTACACATTACGTCATAAACCTGACACTGCTGCATCCAGTCCTGGATTCAGCAATGGACTTTTTAGGACGTGATAATAGTAGTATAATATAATAATACAAGTTTATTTCATTCTTACAGATCATTCACCGTGATCTTGCCGCTAGGAACGTTTTGATCACTGAAGAGAGGACTTGCAAAGTCGCGGACTTCGGTTTGGCAAGAGATGTTGCCGGTACCCATGTTTACGAGAGGAAGAGTGACGGCAGGCTTCCAATAAGGTACGTGTATGCACGTTGCAATTTACTCCATGTGTGGACGCGGTAATGCACTTCGGCCATATTTACTCCAATGTGTGGACGCGGTAATACTTCGGCCATATATAATCCAATGTGTGGTCTTGGACTTGTAATGTGGACATTTGACGTTGAAATACACCGAATCCGTTTTAATTGGCTTTTACGATGAATTCAGTATGTTTTTTTAGGGAATTAACGATCTACTTGCCAATTATAAATTGCGGAAAGTCCTGCCTACGGTTGGGAGACTCAAGTCCATTCAAAAATAAAAATGTAAAAAAGATAGGATATCTAAAAAATGCGTAATTTGTTCACAGATGGATGGCTCCAGAGTCTCTATATGATGACATATTCAGTGTGAAATCGGACATTTGGAGCTTTGGTGTGTTGCTATGGGAAATTGTGACGCTCGGCTCGACTCCCTACCCGGGGCTTTCAGCCGGAGATGTTATGAGGAAGGTATGATAAAGAAATGTTATGTCCTTTAGGTGATTTAAGATAAATGCGAATATATGTGTCTCATCCATCCAGTCGTAGTATAGCCCACAAGTACATTCGAAAGTGTTTCTGGTGTTTGTAAACATTCAGAAGAATATTAATTTACTTTATTACTTAAAGCTAGAGCTTAGAGCTATCAGCTAAGGATGTACGTATTTTTTTCTTAGAAGATCATGAATTTAACCAAAACCGACCATTATTATAATTTAACCGTTTACGAGTAGATTTGTAGAGTTAGCGCGCGCGTGTAATAGAAAACGTAGATATGCAAACAAGCAAAAAAAAAAATGGGAAAAGAATACCACACGTTATTAAACAATCAATCATTCCAGGTTCGTGACGGCCATCGTCTTGAGAAACCGGAACACTGTCGCCGTGAACTATACAACATTATGTATTACTGCTGGGAGGCGGAGCCTTCTTCACGACCTGACTTTAAAGAAGTGGTTGCTATGTTGGAACGCCTCTTGTGTACAGAGATGGACTATATAGAGTTAGAGAGGTTCCCCGACCATTCGTACTACAACGTGCAGAACTTAGAGGGGGAGAAAGTGTAAAAGTTCGGTGCAATCAATTGTGTAGTTTAGTTATAAGTTCAATAATCTAATAAATTATGTATGTTAATTCATTGCTTGGTGACACTTAAATATGAAATAGAAATGCACGAAATTATACAATTAAGCTCTGATATGAGTTACATAAAACAGAGGAAGTATGGTACAAGAATTGTTTTATTTAAGTCCGTCTTGTAATACGATGTGTTAGTGGGAAAACTTTATTTCACTCACAGCAAATGTCAAGCAAGAATTACATGACCAGCTACAATTTTAGAATTAACAATATGCGTCCAACCTTGAAAATGTCAAGGCGGACACTGGGAAATTGGCCGGGGCGGAAGCGTACGTTTGAACTGTTCTACTTTGTTTACTTTTTCACAATAAAAAAAAAACGATTTTATCGAATGTGTTTTCAATATGACTTGAAAATTAATAATTATTTTTATTCAATATAATTTATACACATTCGTCTACATAAATCAAACATCAACTGACATCCATATTCGGATAAATATTTTGTGGGTAAAATACTATCTTCGTGCGGTATCTCAATGCTACACTTATTAACTGAACTGACAATAATTAGCTTAACTAGCTAATTATTGTCATAGTTAAGATTTTTATAATGCATAAATTTATTACGATTCACCTTTTTGTCTTCACACAGCACATAATACGTATGTTCAAGTTTTGTAAAATTATTTTGTTTTCATAATTTAAATAAATTTAGACTAAATTTACAGATTACAGTGGTTCTAAACAGTTAAAACTAATAAATAAAAAAGAAAGAAAACAATTGTAATAAAATAAATATATAATTAGTATAATAAAAATTAAGTTTGAAAGTACTAAAATAAATTAAAATAAGTCCAAGAAAATATCTTATTTTATTTATTAGGGTATAAAATATAAGTACCAAATTTTCAAAAGTGTCATTAAAACGGTATTCAAGGGTCTCGAAATACATTTTACAAGAATAAACAAATATAAATAATGTTTTATTTGATAAAATATTACATATGTATGAAACGAACACCAGTACAAAAAATGGAAAGTCTGTACGAAGCTTTAACCTCGGAACAGCTTCAAGATTTCTTGAACTAATTGATTTGCAAAAAAAATTATGCTGAAAACATAAGATAGTGACTAAATATGTGGTATTTGAATGAGATTAAATGTGTAAAAATTATGTTGAAGTTATCATCATATTTAAAATTATGTAGTTATCATCATATTTAAAATTATGTTGAAGTTATCATCATATTTAATATAGATTTGTAGTGGCTAGTCGTTAGACTTAGGTTTATTTGTACTTAAAATATGTATGAAGTTCTGTACAGTAATATAAAATGTAATATTAATAGGTAAGATGTTCAACTCTAATAAAATGTTTTGTTTCACTATGTTTTTATTTATTATTCTTTTATTTTGTTATATTCGTGTATTTTTAAAGTAAAGTTCTTTACGCACGCTTGACTTGGGGTGTAAGGAAAAGTGTAATCGGGCGAGGCGAACGAGAGTTGAGTTGAGTTGGGGGATATAAGCAAGAGAGAGCAGTGCGCGCGCACATATTTTTTCCCTTTCTCTCAGAGCCAGCTATTTTTCGTAATTTTATTACGTTTTGAACAATTTTATGAATTAATATTTTGTTCAATACTTTATTTATATTTTCATATATATTTCTACGTTTAAAGTGAATAAAATTGTAAATTCATTTTAAAGTTCATGTTTTGTGAATTTTCCGGTGATTAATAACAAATTATGGAAGGAAGCCGATAGTAAATTCAAATATTTGCAAATACATGTGTATACATACTGGTATATGCATCACAGATGGAGCTAAAGAAGTTTTACATCAGTCGTGTGGCCACATACATTCAGTACCTATATAAGTAATATACTTAAATAAAAAGACGTCAGTCCAAAGAGGCGTCCTTACTGTTTTGTAATGTAAAAGTATTGTTTAAAATATAATCGTACTTGTGAGATACTTTTATAAATTTTACCGCTTCTGAAATGTTTGAGATGAGCTCGGGTTATTTTTTTAAAATTTTGTTTAGTGTTCTTCTTTTAATAAATTAAGAAACATAAAAATCTTTTTAAAAGATATTTCCAGTGTAATATAATGGGATGTGTGACTTTGCTAGGCACAAAATTCCTCTCATGCCTGAGAGGAAATCCCAAAATTTGGCTGCCAGTTGGTGTTGGCGGCTTCACATATCCTTGAAATATTTAATTTCATAGGAATGCAGGTTTCCTAACGATGTATTCCTTCATGGCCAAACATATTGTAAGTCAGCGCTTAGTTAATGAGAAGTTTATTAATGCCGGCGAGGATCATAGGCTGGCCGTTGGCGTGCTATGATATTTACAGCGAGTGCGCTCAGCCTCTATTTCAAGGTTCACTTTTTTTTTCTTTGAATAAGAATATTTATTTTTGGGCTAAGTGTGCGAAAGATTTATCACGTGGCTGCAGGTGAAAAAGTCCATCACCTTGTTTCCTCCTGTGGGTATGAAGCACGTATGGGAATTGCCGTAAAAAAAGTTACGATCTTCGCAATGTGTCATGTGGTGGTACTAAAGCCACATATTAACCATATTATTAAGGTCACACAAAAACTACCCAGACCTACGACAGGCAGAAGCGTCTAATAACTGCAATAGTCAATGTCTTGCATGTGCGCTAGTCAATTCGCTTGTCAATAACTCCCTACGACGGGAGAGGGCCCTGTTTTGATGATGAAGAAGAAGAAAATAAAACTCGTCTGGTAGTGTAGTTGTCCCTACAATGGTAGATGTCCAAGTCTAACAGCAGACTTTTAGGAGCTGATGAAGGTATATAGATAATGTACTGATACTGACGAAGGTATATATACGATGAGTAGTCGTAGACACATTATTATGTGTGCGAGAGTATCGAGAGTATGTATGTATATATAATTACCTACCCACCATCCTGGCGAAATCTTTTCAAGAAAATATTGCAGGCTGGCCTATTCTTGGAAAGACACGTGGCCGGAATTGAACTCAAATGGATTGACGGAGTCGGTACAGTAGTAGAAACAAAGGGATTCGTATCCTAGCAGAAGCTACTAACAAATATATACTTCTCATATTTATATATTATATTTCTCTTGTTTGGACATTACCTACATATTTTTGGACTTGGGATTATCCCATTGTAGGGATGATTTGCCATAAGTCTTGCTAGATAAGCGATCGCTGTACCTGACAGGATATTTACGTCTTAAGGGGCTACCCTGACCAAAACCTGGCAAAAGCGCGTTTTTCAGAGACTATTATCTCATTAGTTATGAGAAATAAGCTACATCTAAAAGCACATTATTAATGTTCGACATCCTATCATCACATTCCACGTTCTAATATGTTTTTATGTGTTATGAATACATTTAAAATCTACTTTTAAAAACATAAACATACATAAACATAAACACTCACGCCTGTCACCCAGAGGGGTAGGCAGAGACTACAGACTTCCATTTAGCACGATCCTGACATACCTTTCTCGCCTCTTCCACATCCATATACCTACGGATACATGCTCGTCGGTTAAGGGTACTCTTAATTTGGCCCATTTTTAGTATATCGCCAATTTGGTCGACAAACTTCCGCCTAGGACGTCCCTTTCCGACTCTTCCATTCACTTCTGCAACATATATTTGCTTTGTCAGTCTTTCCGCATTCATTCTTTCTACATGACCAAACCACCGAAGCATTCCTTTCTTAATCCTGGTCACCGCATCATCTTGCAAACCACACTCTTCTTTTATCACACAGTTTCTCACCCTGTCACTCAGATTCAGCCCTAACATACTCCTTAGCGACCGCATTTCTACTGCATTTATTCTACTCTCGTGCTTCTTCTGCCACACCCAACTTTCACTACCATACGTTAAAGTAGGGACAAATACAGCACTGTGAATTGCCATACGTGCCTTTTTTTGACACATTCTGACTTTTCACAATAGAGTGTAGAGCCCCATTTACTTTATTTCCTGCATTTACACATACTTTTAAAAAATGACTAAAATTATTGATTACATGCATCTGTTGCTAAAGGAAATGCTCTAATCATTTGAGAATTACACTAATGGACAGATAATTTAAAAATCAATATTCTACACGCTTTATTTAATTTCTTAAGTTCGCTTATCTCTTTTAATTGAAATAATTCCAAATATTCGGGCATATTTTTCCGTGATATATTGTAGCGAGAGCGCGTGGATTGTATGGGACCGAACGCTCAAGGTCTCTTGCAAGGGGAACCGTCTTAAATATATTTTTCTTATACTGTATATACGAGATGGTTGAATTACTGCCATGCAATGAAATCCTTTTGGCATTTCCCTATTGTGGCCTCTTACGACATTAATAGGACATAACGGGATGATATATTTCTCTAACGTCACGATAGGAAAAAACATACTTTGTTTCAATCCAATTATTCACGAACACAATGTTTTATAAGAATTGAAAACTATCGCTAGGGCCTATCCTTTAGAAGTATTGTTACATACTAAGGTATGAAAATTTCCGAGGAATGTAAAATATAATGTTTTGTGTCAATAAATATTATAATGATTATTAAAGAAAATGTTATTGAAATATTTCACATAAAATATCTCTGAATAAGAGTAGCTGTATTGTATGTTGTTTACATTCGCAGTAAATCTAATTGAATCAGAATATAACGTCGGCTCTACACGAATCGTCCAACCGTCCGACGGTCCCTCCAACTACTGGATGTAAAAAGAGTAAAAGAAAAATACATTTGTTTAGATTAGAGCTAATATCGACGAAAGGATTGATAGTTCTTCCAAAAAAACTCTACGACGTTCATACGCCAGTTCGGCCGGTCCCGCAAATATTTGCCTGCGTGTTTGCTTACTCAGGATACTTATAAAAAATTAGCATTGAAAGAAAATACTGCTAAAGCTTGAGATAAATTTGACAATTCCGATACCAAACTGATAAGCTAC